AAATATAATTGTAATTAATGCAAAAGTAACGGAAAAAGGCGGGAAAACGAAAAGAGTTTTATTAAATGCTAATGGGCCAGTAATTATATATATATAGATTTGGTTGATATTGTACCAGTTAATGCTTTCCCAAAAATCGCCATTCAAGTGCCTCTATTCAGACGCAGAGTAAATGCTAATACTTGGCAATATAAAGTACCAAAACTTGTTGGTTTGCAGATGGAGAAGATTACCACAGATGTGAGCCGAGCTCGAGTAGTTTGATCTTCTCACACGCTTTATCGCTTTTATTATTTTGTTTTTCACTTTTGTAGCCGAGCGAAGGAACATGACTCTTCAATAAAAATTGAGTTCATCAATCATAGTTTTCTTACAATAATCAGCTAGGTAGATATATCAAATCAGTAATTCGTTTCATTAGGAAACAAATGTCACGATTTTTCCATTTATGCTGCTGTAATTAATTAATTCAAACTATACGAAAGTGTTCTTTTTTTTTTTTTGATGAAAAGTGAAAAATGCATTTCAAAAAAAGTAAGAGTGAGTGTACATCAAAGTTCCAAATTACACAAAGAGGCTAAGCCTACAAATAAAACCAATCAAAACTAAAAGATATAAAGACTACAGGAAAAAAAACAAAAACCAAGCAACTCTAAACAGAGATACATACATATCAGTTGAAGGTAGAAACCAAGACTAAGACTTTCAGCTAAAACGAGAAGCACCCACACTCTCCTCCAATATAAAAGGAAAAAAAAAAAAAATAACAGAAAGAGTCCAAACTTAAAAAATTCCAGCCAAAAAAACACCAATCCTCCATAAAACGATGCTTTGACATTAAGCAGGGGGGACATCGTGGAACACAGTCCAATATGCTGTAAGGGTGGTGGTTCTAGAGGCCCGAAAAAGTTCCAGCTAAAGTTGTCCGTGTGCGAACGTCCAGACCTGCGCTACGTATGTAAAGAAAGAGGAAGAAAAAAAAATCTCAAAAGGAGGGGTGAAAGAATCCCCTTTTGAGTAAGCGGCCCACGAAAACGGATAAAACCCTAAAATAAAAAACAACGTGACATAGCAAAAAAACTAGAAATTAATGGCATCAGTAGGGAAGATAGAGTACATTACCTTATAAACTTGATTTTGAATTTTTGCAAATATAACTTTATGAGTAAAGGGCTCTCCGTCGAAAATAAATGCATTACGAGCGTTCCAAATATGGTATATGGTGCAACATAATGAGACCTTCCTGGCTTTAAGCATGATCGCCCCTCCTTTTTCTTTTTTAATCCATTTAATAGCACTAGCAATAGTGGTCATGGAGTGTTTGCAATTCAACCAACGACGGACTGAATCCCAAACTATTTTGGTTCCAGCACACTTAAAGAACAGATGATTAGCAGATTCTACATTAAGTAGGCATAACTTACAAGATTGATCCGTATTAAGGAAAGAGAGATTATTCAAAGTGGCCAACCTATCTTGAACACCAAGCCAAGTACAAAAGGAAAATTTTGGGGGAATAAATGTCTTCCAAATGGCAGACTTCCAAAAATTCTTTTCACCTTTGTAACGAAATAAATTGTACAATAAAGAGCAGTTAGGACCCTTCGGAGATAAGCAATTATTAAAAGCATGGACGACTTCTTCTTGATTACCAAGAGAAGAGACAAGAAGATCTCTGATGTCACAAATCCTTTTGATTAAAGGGGATGCATCTTTTTTTGGATTCCAGTCCCAAAAAGATTGGTTTTTAATGTAATAGGCATGAACCCATTTAATCCAAAGTGAATCAGTTTTAAGATGAATATTCCAAAGAACTTTTGCAAGCAAAGATTTATTCCAGGCATTAAGATCTCTAAGACCTAAACCCCCTTCATCAAAAGGCAAGCAAGTACTTTTCCAAGCAACAGGAGAGGTTTTCTTACCCCAAAGGAAACACCTGCATAGTCTAGTAATTCTATCAATCACGGTATTAGGAAGAGGAAAAATTTGCAACCAGTAACATTCCACGCCCTGCAACACAGATTTGATTAATTGTAATCTACCTGCATACGATAAGGTGTTAGTTGTCCACTTGTTAATATACGCAGCAATGCGATCAGTCAAAGGTGCATAGTGTGCAGAATTAAGTCTTTGAGCTGCTAATGGGATGCCTAAATATTTCACAGGAAGTGTACCTGTTGGAAAACCCAACAGATTTAAAATGTCATCAAGGTGGGGCCCATAAAAACCTGCAGTAAAAATATTAGACTTGGAAGTATTGATGCACAGACCAGAGACAAGTTTAAATTCTTCCAGGCAATCAAACAAGATTTTAACAGAATCATAATTTCCATAACAAAAGAGCATCAAATCATCTGCAAAAGATAAGTGGGATATTTTGGGTTCATTGCATCTCGGGTGAAACTTAAAGGGGGGGACTGAAGTGTTCTTGTTCAAAAGCCTGGACAAATATTCCATACAAATTAAAAATAAAGCAGGTGACATTGGGTCTCCTTGGCGGAGCCCTCTTTTACCTTCAAAATACCCGTGAAGAGTGCCATTAATGGAGATGGAAAAGGATGCGTTAGTCACACATTCCTTAATCCAAGAGACAAACAAAGCAGGAAACCCAAGGCCTATCATTGTATCAAAGAGAAAATCCCAGGAAATTGTGTCATATGCTTTTTTGAGATCTACTTTAAATTCTTTTTCTAGCATAATTTCTCACAATTTCTTGCGCAAGGAATATATTATCAGTAATATTGCGGCCTCCAATGAAAGCAGCCTGAGCATGGTCTATAATCGAAGGAAGGACAGCCTCCAATCTAGATGCAAGAATTTTCGTAATAGTTTTGTAAACCACATTACAAAGAG